CATGTTCATAGGTCATTGGTGGTTTATGTAGTAATGTTGGTTGTTTTTTGTTTTGTTTTTTTTCCGTTTGGTATAAATTGTGATAATAAGTATTTGTTTTCATGTCTGCATTTGGAACACAACAACACATGGACGCACATATATGCCCAGTCCCACCCTATTCATATGTTTATGTCTGTGTGAGCTGCAATGCGTTAACATGTATATATGTAGGTCTGTGTATGTATGAATGGTGTTCTGACAACAATTTTTCCTCCCACTACCACAAAAACACCAATATATGCAAGCTTATATAAAAAAATTAATCAGTTTGTCTAATGTGAAGCCCAAGATCACAAACTCACATCAATCCAACTAAATATGTTAACTCTATCACAGATATTGAGCACTTTCTAATAAGTACCTCGCATATATAAATAATATATATAAGAAATTGCGCACACACACACACACACACACACATACACACATATATATATATATATATATATATATATATATATATTTTACATAAGTACACATTAATAACAGGCAGAAATATACATAGATATACAAATTTGTATTCATGACCATATATAGTGGAGATTATCAAAATGTTCACACACACACACCCTAGACACCTGTCTAACTTTTCTGTAATAGGTGGCTTAAGGATCTATTCAGGGGCTCTATGTAGATGCCTGGGAGAGATGTTTGGTGTTAATAAAAAGAGGTTAAAATCATTTTCAGTATCCTTAAGTTCTTTGCTTTAGGGAAGGAGAGTTGTTTTTCTTTATTCTCTAGAAAATTATGTTGAACAAATCAAATTGTGTTACTTTTAATAAGTTGTTCCTATAACCTGAATTAACCTGATGTGCCTTTTATTTTTCATAGTAAGGCAAACAGAATTTATTTAGCAATACCCACTTCCTCTGCATTAAATGGTATGCCCTATTAGGTTATTTGCCATATTGTTAAATTATCCTGGCTGGGGGTAACTTATATCCCTAAAGAAAGATTTTTTTATTTTTTTTTTGTTATATTTCATTTCTCTGGAGAAAATTGAGTTGGAATTGAGAACAGCAGACTCCCATATCTTTAAAAAAAAAAAAAAAAAAACATCATCCAGCTTGGGTTTGTAAAGGATTGTTTTTTTTTGGGGGGGTGGGGGGATCTTTGTCCTGATTACATTAACAAGTTTTTCTTTTTATTTGGATTGAGCAACAAATTGATGTACATGTGGTATGAAAGAACAGATTTGAAAACACTTTTCAAAGGAAATCTATTGAACAAAAATAAAATTGAGGGTGAGTGTTCTTAAAGAGAAAAGAAATTGGTATACTTCCCTTAAATGAAAAAGTCTAGAAAAATATTTGTTCACTTTTTTTTTATAAATTGACATAACCATTTTATTCTTAGGAAAGACAGGCAACTTATCTAGTTAGGAAAAATATGCTATTTGATATGATGGAAAAGAAAAGAATCCAGTTTTCAAAGCTAACATGCATGTTCATAGATCTAACTTTTCCACTGGGTAACACTAGATAATTCATCTTGACATAATATTATTTTATTTATTAATATTATTAATAATAACCAGAAATACGTGTGAAAATTTAATGGTTTTCCTATTGGAATTTTTTAAAATTCTTGAATCTTAATATTTAAACTAAAGGCTTGCAAGTTCCATGGCTATAAAATAACTACAGAAATTGCCTGGTTGCCTTGTTAAATATTTGTGCTTAACAAATTTAACAAAATATTACAGCAATCAAAAATATGAATACAGGTCAGTAAATCAGTACAAATAAAAAGATTTAAGTTTTTGTATTTCACCAAAGTAATTGTTAAACAATTGCGTGTTATTATCTCCCACCTTTCCAATTTCTTCTTTTTTTTTTCTCTCCCTCCCCACCTTTTTTCTCACTGAAAACAAACGACACCTCTGATATGTTTTCTGTCATGATCAAAACAAAATAGTCCTTTATTTACGAGGTATTTGTCGAGTGAAAAGAATAATTATAAGGCCATTTTAAAAAAAATAATTATAAGGCCATTTTAAAAAAAATAATTATAAGGCCATTTTAAAAAAAATAATTATAAGGCCATTTTAAAAAAATAATTATAAGGCCATTTTAAAAAAAAAAAAAAGAAAGAGCACTGCAGGTTAAAATAATTTAAATCAACAATCACTTCAAATTTTAAAAAGTATTATTAACTCGCCAGCATTTGCACATGAAATTGAGATAAATTATGCCTTTGGACACAAAATTAAGTGAATTTGAAAAGGGTCAAATAATTGCTCTCAAAAATGAAAATTTGAGTAATAGAGAAATTGCCGTTAGGATTAAGTGTTCAAAAACTGTTATTAACAACATTTTATCAAACACAGAAGAATATGAAGCCAAGAAAAGAGTCAGAAGAAGCAAGAAATTAAATGATAGGGATGTCATAGTAGTCAAAAAAGCCAACAAGCAATGTCATCACATTGTGTTCTAAGATCCAGGCAACTCTGGAATTGGGTGTTTCATGCTGGGCGGTTTGGAGAGAACTTAACAGATCATCTGAGTTCAGTTATGGCAAGCTTATGAACGGTCCATGTTTGACTGAGCACCATATGTCAGAGCGCTTCAATTGGATCAAAGCCCATATGACTTGGGACAAGCAATGGGAAGGTGTGACATTTTCCAATGAAAAAATTTAATTTGGACGGTCCAGATGGGCCAATCTTATTATTGGCATGACCTTAGAAAGAAGTAGTTGGTCTTTTCCAAACATGTGCAAGGAGGAAGGAGTGTTATGATTTGGGTGGATTTTGGATTAAAAGGCAAAAATTCCAATTGTATTCATTAATGCAAGACTTGATGCTTTGAGTATTGTAGTATTTGTAGTCTAATGCTTTCTTGCCTTATGGAAAAAAATTGGTGGTCGAAATTTGGTGTTTCAGCAAGACAACGCTCCTGTTCACAAAGTCAAGTCCACTATGGAGTTGTTTCAAGCAAACCAAATCAATGTCATGGATTGACCCACCAGATCTCAATCCTATTGTGAACCTTTGGGTGATATTGGTTAGACGAGTATACAAGAATGGGCATCAATTTAATAACAAGGAAGAGCTCAAAAGTGAAATTTTGAAAGACTGGAATTCAATTAACCAAAATGACACCCAGAAGTTAATCTATTCTATGAAAAATAGTATTTGAAGTAATAGCCAATCACGGAAAACAAACTAAATATTAATTTCTATAAATTTTTAGTGTTTGTCAATTTTATAATAAAAAATTTTTAATGGCCTTGTAATTATGCACCAATCATTTTTCAAGTTTTTGAATAATTTTACAATAACTGATTTTCTACTCATAGTAATTTGAAACTTTCAGATTATTAATGCTGTATGACAATATACAAAATATTAAAAAAAAAAATCATCTCAATTATATTACTATATATAAAGTTTAAAGATAAAATTCTGCTGGCCTTATAATTATTCAACACTGTGTGTGTGTGTTTGTGTGTGTGTATATATATATATATATATATATATATATATATATATATATATATATATATAAAAAGGCTTAAACATATAATATTCCATGGTCATAATATTATTCCATTGGAATATATGAATACGATCCAAATCATCAGACCTACAAATTCAAAATGAAAACAGAAAAACAACTGAAATCAAAACAGAATTTAGAGAATTATATTACATATATATATATATACATATATATATATTAGTATGAGGAGGAGGGAGATGAAACCTTAATAGAGAGAATTTTAGGAGATATTACATATATATATATAAAAGAGGAGATAAAGAAACATATATTTTTTATTATATATATTTTGTATATATATATATATTTTATTACATATATATATTATAATATATATATATATATATATATATATATATATATATATATATATATATATATATATATATATATATATATATATATATATATATATATAAAAGATATATATATATACATATATATATATACATATATATATAAATAAATTATATGTATATTTAAACCTATATATATTATATTACATATATATATATATATTAAACATATATAATAAACATATATATATTAGGTTAATTTTCTCACTCCATAATGATGGTGGTGTAACAAATGCAACATAATCATTTGAACATTCCAAACAATACTGTGAATGTGTTAGAAGTATTTAGACAAGCTGATTACCATCGCGATAATCCAGCCTAGTAAGTAAAGTCCAAACAAGAATCTGCAGTATTGTTGGTCCTGACCTGACATTACAACTTCAGTCCCTTTCCCACCACCGTATTAAGGCTTCCCTGTGCCTTCTCTATATACACTTTCATGGTAATTGTTCTGATGATATGAAATGGCGGATAGATCTAACCATAATTTCTAAGCTCACGTTTTCTTCTATTGCACTTCTTGCTTCCCAGTCAACTTTGATCTTCAAAAATTTAAATGCATTGTCAATTGTTACTGTTTGTCTTAATTCTTGTTCTTTTAGAGTACTTTCTCCTTAATAGTATATTTTTCTCATATTCTCTAACACTCTTGCTTGGTGTGAAAGGATTTTTTAAAATAACAAAAAAAAAATCCCTAAATTGACATTACTCAAGAATCATGAGGACAAATAATAGTTCTTGGAACTGCATGCAATATAAGATTTGGAAGGATGCTGTATTTCCTGCCTAATAAGATACACATTTAGGGGAAGGGAAAAAAAAATGCTGTATTTTGGGGATTAAGTTGGCCTTTGGTTTAATCCGGGGCTAACACCAAAATACTCCTGTTTGACACAGTAATTCCCCAATAAACCCAGAATGAAATATAAATAATTAAATAGAAAAAACAGTTATAAACTAGTGTTAGCATTTTAATTTTGTTTTAATTTTCCAATTAACATTTGCATTTTATATGATGGGAAATACAGTATATACTTTCAAAGCACTAACAAAATTGTATTCCTGTTTTCTTTTAATAATTTTAATCTTTTTGCAGTCTGCTCGGGCGAGTGATTCTGGATCTGAGACAGACCCTATGTCTGACTCCGAGACAGTTTTTCACACTGTTGCCGTTGACATGTACAATTCAGTGGAACCCACTGTGAACAGGGTCGTAGAACCAGAGTTGATAGATGTTGCAGTGACAAGTGACCCAAACAGCTGTGACAGTGCTGCAAGTAGTGACATCCTCATGCCCACCCAGGTACATAATAATAATAATACAACCACACTTATTTCTCACAGATCACATTTCATTATGAGATAAAAAAAAATAAATAAATAAAACAAAATTAACTGGGCATTTTCAAAGCAGATCAAACAAAATGTATACATAAGTTTTATTCACCTAGTCACCTTAACATTACATTTTTATTAATCATAATCAATAATGTCTGATTTTCATCAGTAAGAAATGGTGCACTGAAGATATTTGAAAAAGAACTTTAATGCAATTCTATTATGCAGTGTTTATTTTCTGTTTTGTGGTCAAATCAAAGAATTTAACAGAAAAAATAGACATTGCATCTTTAGAATTTGATGAGACTCATGAGACAATAATGCAGCATATTCTTACCTATTTTTTAAATGTCCATAAACATATGTCCAGATGAAAATTGTATATAATTGGGAAGAATGTGATTGATATGACAAAAATGATTGGATCTGCTTGAAGAAACTTTTTCTTTTTTTTTTTTTTTTTTTTTTTTTTTTTTGAATTTTGACATTTCACTAACCATTGTATCAAAATATGTCACCTTCATTATCTGTCATTCATCAGTTTTCTAAAAATGCCAAAATTCACTCATCACATATTATGGGAAGTGAACTCTCTACCTCCATCCAAAAAACTTACCATTTACGATCTTATTTATTATGGAATTTTCTTTTCTTTTTTCATCAGTAAATCAGCTATCATTAAAACCAGAAAATATGAAAACATATTGACACAGTTAAATTTATAGTTTTATGTCTATAGGGGAAATGAATTCAATTTGATTGTTTTAAATGCAAAGCTGTAACTTTTTTTATTTGAAAGTTCAGTCTTAATTATTTCACATATCAAATTGTAAACAATGCCAGTAAGCAAAAAGATATTTAAGCATAGTTTTGTGTGAAGCCACAAGTAAGGATGTACTCAAGTGAGAAATAGATATCAAGCCATCACTACACAACAGTAATGGTCGACTGGACTGCAAATCATTTTTGGACTTGTTTACTCATCATAATCACAAGTTTACTTCCCATAATAAAAGTTACCGTATTTCGCTGTTTATAAGACATTCCAGTGCATTAGACACCCTCCCAAAAAAAAACATGTTTAGGAAGAAATTGAGAAAAGAAGATTTTTAATAGCCCTCCCCACTATCCCCAATTTTACCCATTGAATAGCATATTTCAACCTGCAAACCTGAATAATGACAAATTCATCACAGATTGAAATACCAAATTTATTGTGACTATTTAGAATGTAATAATTAGAAGAGGAATTTGAGTTAAAACATTATTCATTTAATTTTGAAGCACTGGATTTGTTTTACTTTCAAGGGCTCAGAACTGAATGTAACTATGGAGTTGATGCTCACCTTACACCTCAAACTTATAACTCCTGTCACCGACTTTCAATTTATAGAATGCAGGGTTGTTGTTGTTTTTTGGGGGTTTTTTTTTTTTGGTTTTTTAGGTATTTTATAGGGAAATAGATGCATCTTATAAGCAGCAAAATACTGTAAATTAAGAAAAAGAAAGAAAGAATATCAAGACTAAAATTATTCTTCTTTCACTTAACAAAAGATGATGTGCAAATTAATAAACAAACCCAAACTGATTTTAATCAGATTTTCCATCCTCCTGATTTTTTTTTTTTTTTTTTTTTTTAAATCTCAAAGTGCTAAACACAAGACTGAATATTTCTGAATGAGAGTAAGGATATTTGAATAAAATCCCCCTAAAAACATATCAGCTTCTTTTTGTTTTATTTTTCTCCATTTAAAATATTCCCTGGTGATTAACTGGGATTTTGTAATCTTGCCTGTTGTAAAATATATATATATATATATATATATATATATATATATATATATATTATGGCCTATTCTATCTTGCTTCTAATTTGGATATTTTGTTCGGCTTAAGAAAAACAAGAAAATAGCTTTCTTTATCTCTGACATTGTATGAACACAACTTTTTTACACTAACATCACCTTGTTCATATTCTGATGTCATTTGTAGTGTGCATGTGTGCCTATGCATATATATCTATTGTGTGCATGTACACTCACATATGTATGTATATATCTGTGCTACATGCAACAGTTAACTGTGGAGATAATTTTTTGTCATAACTGACAGCTCCAAATGTTTCAATCCCTTTAATAAAAGTCTTAATCAAGAATAGAGCCAGTTGGTGATTCTTTTTATTTCTTCTTAGTTTGCTTTTCATGTGGAATTATAAGTTACAAAGATTTTCAGGAAGACAAGTGAGAAAGACATGTTCAGACAGGCTGGTATTAATTTAAACCAAGTGATTATTGGTATTCTTTTAACTACTTCTCTGTATTCAACAAGAAAATAGAATGATTACTTTCCAGATATAATACCATATTGAGGCATCTCCATGATATAATTTTTAGTTATGTAATCATTCTGATGAACTTTCCTCTATGGTACCTAGACTTTGAGTTTAAGTGCAGTACTAGATTGGTGGCAAGGTCTCGTTTTATAGCTGAAATTGTGAGACGTAACCGTAAATTCGATGCTAACAGTTTCTTCTCTTAAACTTTCATCTTCATGTTTTCCATCAACTTTGATGTTCAAAATTTTAAATGCAATATCAATTGTTGTCTTCTTTCTGTCTCCTTAATTTTTCTTTTATTCTCTCCTTAATAAGGTTTTCTTATTATCTTACACTCAGTAACCTCCTTGCATCTTAGTGGCTTTATTGCCTTGCTTCAGGTGAATTTTTTTTTTTTTTTTTTTTTTAAAGAAACTATGCTTGTTATATTTCCTCTTAAAAAGATAACATACATGTTTATTTTAGAATAGAAATATTTATTTTATAATTGTTCTAAGAATGACAATGTAATTTTTTTTATGAAACTGCAATGGCAGATCATTAAGTCCATAGTCTAACACGGGTATTAGTATAATTTTGATCTGAAATTTTCACTAATCTATTGGATTAATTAAATTGGTTAGGAAGATGGTTATACTGAAAAATAAAGATTTGTTATGTAATATAACCTCCGCTCCCTTTCTCTCTTTCTCTCTCTTTCATTAGACTACAAAATTATTGATTTGACTACTTGATGAAATTTGCTATCTTGACTTGCATAAATACCAAAAAGAAAATAAAGTTCAAAATTTTTTTAAACCTCTGATTCCCTTCAATGACTTTGTCAATTCATTAGCATTCAATATTTCAGGTAATATATAATAAATAATGGACAATATTTTTACAATAGTTGACTTGAAGATTTCTTCTTGTTTTTTTTTAACATCTATCATATAACATTGTTTTAAAGTTAGGAAAATATATTTTGGCCATTATGAGTAGTATTAGTTTTATCCGGATACTCAAATTTAATTAAGGTAAACTAAAAACATAGTCTGTCGTGTTTTTTCATATTGCAAAATGATCAACATGAGATCGAATTGGCCAGATTAGGATTGGTTATTTGTCTTTGTTCTGTTTCCATTATGATTGAATTTCTTTTGATTTAGCTTTTCACATAAAATGCAACTGACAACATTTACGAGTATAATAAGGTGGAGAAAAAACTTGAAACTTATAAGCTTTTTTTTCCTTATCATAATTATCATAATTATGAATTTGAAATTTACAATCGTAACCAAATAGCTTTTACCCTTTTACATTACAAATAGCCAGACCTAAAAAAAAAAAAAAATCTGCTAGAAAAATTAACCTCTCTGCCCACCCAAGGGGGTGCAGAGGTGTCCAGCCCAACCTAATTTCCAAATTTTTAATCACTAAAATTTTTTTTTTTTTCTTTGGCACTATCTTGTTTAAATTGAAAATATTCATTACCCTTATATTAAGAAACTGGTTAGAGAGCTGTGAAAGTTCAGTATAAAAATAGACACAATATGCTGATATCAATTCAATGAAAGAAACATGTTTGTATATATATATATATATATATATATATATAATGCTCTAACATGCAGAAGAAGCACTGGGCAACTGCTTCCTTCTTTTTGGGACTCATAAGCTGAGTTCATCCTCTACTGACTATATATATATATATATATATATATATATATATATATATATATATATATAATGTTTTGAATGAATAGACATGTCTGTTTTTATATGATCTTTTACAGCTCTCTAATCAGTTTCCTGAAGTTAAGATGAAATTTATCAAGGAAGTTGCCGCAGTTTTTTCTAACCCAAATACTTTCTACCTTTTCCAAGATCATCTTCAGGGGTAATTTACAAAGATTAACCTATTGTAACTGTGATAAATTTGAAGTGTTGAAATGCATATAACAAGCATTTAATACTATTTTGTATTTCTACCAATTTCTGATCAACTCCTTTATATTGAAACTCTTGTTTTGCAAAAAATTCTATACCTACAATGGAGGAATTAAAATTTTAAAATAACTGTAACAAACTGCATTTGCATGTGTTTTTTAAAAATCGCCATCACAACGAAATACAGATTTTATTGCATTTACAACACCTATGGCTGTCCAATTTAAGAGAAGACCTATGATTATATCACCTTTTCTTGATAAACCTTCTGTTCATTCCACATAGGCTTTGTTCTACCCTGTGAAATCTTTCACCTCTGCCTTATAGATGACAGTTGCAGTTACCATCCAAAGAGCACTTGTTTTTATCCCTCCAGCTTCAGATGTCAGTGTATTGTTAGTATGTGCGTCTGTCTTGAAATTCTTTGGGTTGAGTTTCTTTATTATATTATCTAGATTGTTGGTACAGTAAAACTTAATTTTACTGTACTTGTTAAAAATTTTGTAAAGATTAGAGGTCTTTAGGAAAGCAGTTTAAAAAATATTTTCCCTATATTAGTTCTTACTTCTAAATTAAAAGGTGGGGTTGGACCAGATAATATCTCTTTTCCTATTTCTATTCTTCAACTGCTGGTTCAATTGAGGATTAAAATTCAATTTGGTTTTATGCCCCTCCACTCTAAATACTGTTTCATATATATA